CAATTTTTTTCCAGCCATGACTGACTGTGAGGCCACCATTTGGGACACTTCTTGGTCAATGAAATTGTCCCACTTCTCCTTCTGTTCAGAACCAGCTCTCATGGAGCCAAAGCTATTACCCAGATGCTTGTCAGGCAGACACAAAGGCACTTTGCAGTATGTTTTGGCTTGCTTTTAGGGGATTTCCTGCCAACAGAGCCATGGCATTTGCCCAAGTTTACCATGAACTTGAGGGCAAATTTCTCTGTTCATACCCTTGGAACGCTCCAGAAAACATTTTCCATTTTGCACAGGATAAAAGGAGCTTCCCTCAACGGCATTGCTGATGGCAACATCCCAGGCAGCAAATACAGTACAGCATCAAAGCAAACATTGCTCCTTCCTTTTTCATGAGGAAGGAGTGCTCTGTCTTTTTAATTCTTTAACTGTTTTATTACTTATTTTGAAGTTTGAGCAAAACTATGATTAGTATCCTAGAAGGAGTTTTCTTTAATCTTTAAGCATGTTCTTTCACAGCTGGTAGGAAACATCTCTGGTGTATGACCATGTATTGAGGCTCCCTTTCCCAAGAATGCTATAAATGTAGCAGCCTTCTCTTTCTTCAGTATTTTCTCTGGTTGTAAGAGATTGCTTTCACAGGACCTAATTCCATTCCCAGGTGTTTCTGTAGCTCCCATTCTGACTTTTCCTGAGCTTCGTGCTCGTGTCTGGCTTACACCTCTGAGTTTACAGATTGGTGCTGCTTCTTTTACTTTTATGATAGGTTTTGGTGCTCTGGCAGGGAAATCTCTTGGCAGTAATCAGCTCCTCAGCTGCATCTGTTTCACCTTTGCTTGCATCATTTTCTTCCTGTAGGCATCACCAGTGAATTTAACAAAAAATACAACAGTGTTTCTCAGGACTCAGTCGTTTTTGGGATGGAGAGAGTCGCAGCTCCTCACTCTTCCATAAACCAACAGCAAGACTGAAACTGCCTTCAAGTTTCCTGGTGCCTGTTTTGCTCCAGATTGGTACTTTTCTTCTGCTCAGGCTATCCATCAAAAGTCGTATTTCCAAAGTCACTCTTTTTTATCTGATGTGTTGTCCTCAGGTTGCCACAAGCTTTTTTCCCCAGTGGTTACTGCCAGGTGGCTGTGGAAAATAGTCTCAAATCTGACATTTAATGGCAAATTTGGTTCAGAATGTGTCCCCCAACCATTTTTCCTTTTCCAGTGAGTAAAGCAGTAGCTCAACACAGTGCTGCTGAAAAGCAACTCGCATCCATTTGGGAAGAAGGTACATCTTGAAGAGCAAGAGGAAGGCGTTTGGCAACAGTGAAGGCTTTTGGGGACATTGAAGACAACCAGAAGTTCAGTTTTACTTGGCTTTTAGAGATCTTTTAATGCCAAACTTCAGTTGCCTCTGTACATCTTACCCGTTTTTAGCACAAGGCAGATTTGGTACCTGTTTTTACCCTGAAGGAGGTGTTAGTGTGTGCTGCTGCTGTGCTTGGCCCCTGCATTTCCTGCTCGTGTAGTGTTGTCTTTGGGTGAATTTGCAATTCCCCTCCTGCCAAATGAGCTGCTGGCTGCATGGGCCAGTGGTCTGCTCAGCTCACCTCCCTGCTGCTGGTTTGAAGCCAAGCCTCACCAGGTGTACAAATGCACAGCTCAGCCATGAACATCTTCACTGTTCACTCCATACTTTTAGACATAATATTTACAATTGCACTTGGCCTTGGAGCATAGCTTTATTCCAAATAAATGACCATACTATATATTTGCTAGGCTTTTTCAATTTTCTGTTCTGCAGCCAAAACTGCAGCTGTGCCCAAGCTCTTGGCAAGGGAGTGTTGTAAAGCCTTTTATGGAGGCCTGAACTCCCAGCGCCCTGTTGGGCTTGCAACCAGGGGTGCTCCCAGTCCTTTTCCCAGCACTGCCACCTCTGCCAAGTGACAACCAAGGAGTCCCTCATGTGCCTCAGCTCCCATGGGTGTCCCATCTTATTGCTTCTAATGCACTGGGGGCTTTCCAGCCCAGTGGTGCAGATGTGCTGTTGAGTGACAAGGTGGGGACACAGCCATTAAAGAGAATGACAGAAGCCAGGCCAGCAAATGACTCTGGTGGGCACATACTGCTGATCTCCTGCGATCACCCAGGCAAGTCCTCCAGGCTTGTGCTGAGTCAGGGATTGAGTAATTCCTAGAAGCTCTAGGAAGTGTCAGTGGTTAATGAAACCAGGCAATAATGTGGTATTAGTGGGTTCTTTTTCTAGAAGTTCTCACAAAAAAACAACAGATCTCATCCACTTGCATTTTGTGAGTGTGCATAGATCCTTTTGCAGGAGAATGAAGGTATTGTTCCTGGCACTGAGACCAAATTGCAATCCACTAAACTATGGTGTGTTTACTTAAATGCCACCTGTGATTTCAGTAGGATCCAACATTAATTTATTATCCTAAGCTGTTGTATGTTGTTAGTGCATGTTGTTAACAGAGTTGCCATACCTCTTCCCAGGAATGGTTGAGCTTACTCTGACCCCTACTCTAAGCTTGTGCATCAGTTTGTGTGCAAAGCACTTTGGGACTTTTTTTTGGAATGGGTAGAGAAGTTTTCTAAAGAAATACTTTTTTAATCTTCTGAATGCAGGCTTGGGTGGGAGCAGTTATTCCCTGAAGAAATATTTGGCTGCTACAGCTGAGATTGCTTAACAGTGGCAGTTCTCCAGGACATCTTAACTAATTAAGTGCTGTTTGCTACCATTGTATCTAGACTCCTTGGGAAAGGACATGATCAATTGTGTTAAAAAGCATCTGTTTTCATAACTGCAGCTAAAATCCCTGGATAGCTGGGTGTAATTTTCCATTGTTATTGAACTCATGATCATGGACTGCTCTTCGAAAACACGGAGTACTTAGAAGATGAACTGCAGGCATGCCTCAGTGCATGGTGGCATGCTGTGCCAATGACCTGGTTTTGATGATTGTATTCTTGCTTCCTCAGCAAGCAAGAGCCAAGTGACCTTCTCTTAGTGAGAAATAAAGTGTATTTATTGGTGAGAGTCTTCAAACTGTGAAACAGCTGAAGTATTGCATTTGTGTACCAAGATTTTAGTAGTGATACAGGAATGGTTGCGAATGTTTGGCTTTGGAGTGAAGGGTAGACAGGATCAATCCTTTTAGTTTATATAAAAAGTTTTTTTTTAGAAACAGGAGGGTATTCAGAGGTCAGTGGCCACATTCTCATTTTGGTTTGGGAAGTGCAGAGAGCATCTTGAGTACTTTGTCCTTTGCTTCTCTGGAGTGAAGATCACAGTCTCCTCTCTGGTCATTGTGGTACAGCCGAGCAGGCTGGCCAGAGAAACTACCCAGGAACCTTCACTTCCAGACAAGGAAAAAAAAAG